AACCATGCATCTAGTTTATATACGGAGGGGGGAAGGGGGGGGGAAGAGGAAGATTTTTAAAGAATTTATGCAATAATCAATAGAGCCAAACCCTAACTCCAGAACCCCTCACCCTGGGGCCATGAATTTCAGTTCAATGCTTATTACAATCTTGCCAACAGTTTGACTGCTTGATATCAAGGAGTAAAGAAGAAGATTTTTAAAGATTGCACACATTTTGATGGTTTTGGCACCACCACTCAGGCCCCAGGGGGACAGGGACCATGAAATTCACAATTTTTGTTCCCCTTTACACATACATGTAGATGTTCTATGCCAAAATTAGCTGAAATTGGTTCAGGGGTTGCAGAGAAGAAGCTGAAAATGTTCAAATGTTAACGCACGATGCACAACGCACGACGACAAGGCGAAAACGGATAGCAATAGGTCACCTGAGTGACTCAGGTGACCTAAAAAGGTTTGCTTATAAAGGAACACAATTCATATCCATGAGAATTACGATAGATTATTGAAAGATCTGTTTTTTACAATACTCTATTTTCAATGAGGAACTCAAACTTCAGAGTACTTGTGTGTAGAATAAGAATGGTATTTGACAAAGAAATTTTGTAGATGACCAATGACATTATATATAATAATGATATACTAGTAATCCTAACCCTTCCCTTATCCATATATTATTTTTAGTGAAAATGCTGTCTATGGTGTCAAATCCCGGTCTTTAATTTATCATGGGAAAAGTTGTATAAAGTATCGAAAAGTCATACGTTTTCATATTTTAAATTTTAGCAAAATTTTGTGATTTCAAATATTCTAAAAGATATTTTGAGATGTTAATTATCCACCGCTATAGGAATATGTTATTGCAGAGTGCTGCAGACGTTTCTCGTTCGTTAATGTTAATATTTTCATTGGGCGTAAAGGCAGAAGTTTGGTGAATCATATACTAGATTCCGATGTGTATCCTTGCTAGTAAGGATTTTTATGTATTTTGGAAGTTCAGTATAGGTAAAATGAATTCAATTGAAAATATTTAATATTGACTTATAGTTTTGTAGAATCTTTTCCTTAGATGAAAGGATGAAAGATCTGAAGATAACAAACATTGACAGATCTCAAAAAAATCTTCAAACAATACAAATATATACAAACAGAGCATAAAACACGGGCCCCGAAAATCCAGAGGTGGGATCAGGTGCCTAGAAGGAGGAAGCATCTTCTGTAGAAAGGAAACTGTGAGTATAAGTTGGATCATCTTGTAGAATTAAATCTAATTTCCTTTAAAAAAGCAAATGTAATAAAGTGCCCTACAAAAAAAGAAGACTTTGTTGTAACCTGCATTGTCAGCTGTTACCAGTGCATACTGATAACTTAATTTATCTAAATACTAGTCACATCTAAAAATTGAAGACAGAGAATAGATGGTTCTCATTTTGGCATCATAAACCATTTAATATGAGTTTAAGGACCTACCTTATACTATTTATTCATTCTGACAAAGTGTCAAGGTCTTCTTCTTACATATTCAATTTTATTTTTATGTTCCGTAAAACGTGCTGCTTTAAAAAGGGTAAAGGTCTGTGATCGGCAATATCATATTCACAGATCCCAGTCTGCTACGCTGTTGTTGAAAAATCCAAATGATATTCAATGTTTTATTTTTGGATATGGAATTTATTTCACGAGTGGGGCAGGATTTTTTGATATTTTCACGAGTGCGAAGCACGAGTGAAAATATTAAAAAAAAAAACCCCTGTCTCACGAGTAAAATAAATTCCATCTCCAACAATAAAACATTGAATTTTCTGTTTATTACATTTTCTTTGATTTCTCTTTGCTCTATCTTTTCTTAACACATTGTTATAGGCTGTGACGTCATAGTTGAGCGGTTAATATCTTAGCAATTGTGAGGTTGAAAACATTGTAACATGGAATTTAGCAATATATTTGGGAGGATATTTACAGTTTGAGTCTTTTATCAACAAGGTTTAGTTACTATCTCTAACAGGCCAGAAATCATTTTTACTTACTTTGTTATCCTTTCACTCTGTGACAGAATATCATTTGGTGTCCTTTGACACTGTTAAAGAATATAACTTTTATTCAATAAATAAAACACAGTACTTCACTATTGAAAATGTAATAAAAGTTGTTTTCTAACTGATTGAAAACAGTTCTGAGTGTGTTTTCTGGTATCCTTTGGCTTAACCAACCCACGAGAGATTTCATACTACAAAATTTGTAATTTACAGTAAATTTAGATACAATGTCTATGTCAATCATATAATTTCAAAAAAAAAAACAAAAGTCTCATACAAGTATGAAGAGCTTTGAAAGCAAATATTTGCGATGCATTTTAAATATGAGGGAACTTATAAGGTTGGCTAAAAATGTTTACATTTCCAACTGTTTTCTCTTTGATAACTCTCAAAAAATTAGGTGTTTTAATAATAATTTCCCAGGCGGTCATATTGTGTCTGACGTCAGTGGGCGGGGACTGTGTAAATAAACATGTTATGCCTTAATGCCTGTTCGTGAATTCTATTTACAAACATTTTTTTTAAATTTTAATTTACATTTTTATTTCACATATAACTGCAAAACACCCATTTTGCAAATCACACCACACTTCCAACCATCGTTAATGACCTGGCATAACCAGCAAACCAGACAGTCATTCCTTAGAATTCCTTAGGTCATATAGATATTGCTTTTTATTGCAAATGAATTGATTGAGTAATGTGCAATTTAAAAAAGTTTCAACCAGAGGGTACGATTTTTTTTATCACATTCCTATCTAATACCAAACGTTTTTTATCGGCTTGTTGCAAGCCTTCATATTTCCTATTCAAATACAATATTATCAAAACCACAAATCCAACAGTAATTAACCAATTCCCCCTTACAAATGAATATACATGTATCTTCAAAAGAATTCACAAGAAAATTCGGATTTTTGAAAATATTTTCCTTCCTTCTCTTCAAAAGGTATTCATTAAAATTGCTGAAGGAAACCAAATTAGTTTATTTCCCTTTTCCTTGTTGGATTTTTTTTTTTAGAATTAAACTACATTTGAAAAAAAAAAACAATTTAAAGCTTTTGCTACTAGGGAAATTACACTGATTTCCCTCTATCAAAATATGCGGAACATAACACTTTCATTTTGTAATTATCTTGCTGATACATCGTTGACATACAAGGAAATAATTTTTTTATTGTCGTCAACGGAGACAGAAATACTCTTTCAATCCATCCAGTATTATCTTCAACCATGGATTTTTGTTAAACAAGCAAATTCAAAGGATTTTGGTCCCCCACTTTCAGTGTTTTAGTGGTTGGGATGCAATTATTTATGACATATTGTAACTGTCTTGTTTTTATGTCTTGTCTGTCTGTCCATTGAACAAAAAAAATTAATGAATTATTGAATTGATAAAAGTTATGGCAAAGATTAAAGCTTCTCAAAACTGTATAAAACTTCATTTCAAAATCATGAGGTCAAATATCATAATACAAACCAAAAGGTCTTGTCACACGTATAATTAACACGTGAAAAGAAAATATGAAAGCCCTGTCTCGTTATGTTCAAAGTTTAATGCAAAGACTGACGTTAAACTTGAAAGTCAAGGTCACGAGGTCAAAAACAAAGAATATCCAGAAAGGTCTTGAAACAGATAATGCATATGCTAAATAAAAAAGCCCTATCTTCTCTCATTCAAAAGTTATCATCAATGTAAATTTCTGGAAAATTAATCAAACTTCATGGTCAGGGTCTTGGGGTGAAAAATCATACTTCATTTGAAAATGCCTTAACACAGGCTTTGCAAATTTCAAATATGAATGCCCTATCTTCTCTCCTTTTAAATTAGCAGCAATAATAATTTTTATTTTGAAAATGAAGACAAACGTGAAGGTCAAGGTTACAGGTCAAATATATCAAATTCGAAAACTTCTTTTCACAAGTAATGCACTTGATAATTATGAATGCCATATCTTCTCTCATTCAAAAGTTATCACCAAAATTAATTTTTTTAAAAGAAGGTTTTTAAGGTCAAGGTCACAGGGTCAAAAAATCAAAGCATATTTGGAAACATCTTGTCACATGTAATGCACATGCCAAATATGCATGTTCTTTCTTTTTTCATCCAAAAGATATAACTAATATTAAATTTTTTGAAACGTAGGTCAAACTTCAAGGTCAAGGCCAAAGGGTAAAAAAATCATAGTATAGTCATAGGTAATGTACAAATGAAATACAAAATCCATATCTCTTTTCATTCGAAAGTTAAGAACAAGATAAACGAAATGCTTAAATTTTTTAAAAGTAAGTCCAACTTTAAGGTCAAGGTCTCGGGGTCAATAATCATAGTATATTTGGAAAGGTCTTACCACAAGTAATGTACATGTGAGTATGAAAGTCCAATTTTTCCCTTTTAAAAGTTATGACCAAGGTTTAAGTTTTTGTGACAGTCTTCCTGACGGACAGACTGACAAACGAATGAGATTTAATGTTCCATCGCTTTTGCGAAAGTGAGGAACGAAAATGAGAACTGATACAACTTTGATTCTATTCATAAAACACTCTTTTAATCGAGTACGAGAAGCTGATCTGAGTATGTTTTAAGGGATTTAACATTTTCACAATTTATGACAACTAGTGTTTATGTTTCATAAAATTATACCTTATGATCAAAAGCCTTTTCAAAATCTGAAAAAACGGCATAATCTGCATGTCAGACAAAAAATTTGGGGAAAAGTCCTAATATTTGATTTTGTTTTACAAGTACAAGTATGACATAATAAATATATCTCCTTTTTAATAATTGAATAAAAAAAAACCCAATGTAATAGTACCCCTGCCTAAGACATAGTACCTAATAGTCACTATTCAATTAGAATATTATTAAGCCACATTAGAATTTGACATCTATATAACAGACTTTGTACATGGAACTGGACTATACAATCTGAAGTCAAAATACTTGAATAAATGGTGACATAATCTATTGCTATTGCTATTGCCAATCGCCGACATACTAATGCATTATCATATACTTAACAGCAATAACTTTTCCCACGTTACATATGTTTTAAGTATTACAATTGTATCATTCAATGTTAAAACATATAATCTTTTAAAAGATAAAATGAAAGCTGACAGATGTTTGATTGTAATTTCAAACGCACATTTTATAGAGACATTACTCAGTGAGATGTTAATGGACAAGGAAGATTAACATAAAGTCATAATTAGTCATTTACCCAGAGGATTGGTCAGAAGATGATCCATTAGTATTTACAATACAACAGCAAGACAGACTAATCAAAGAGTGACGTAATCATGACCAAAAAGAGGAACTGTATTGAGGGTTCACTTTTATAATATGTTATTTTTACAAAGTTCAATGTCATCTTTTTACGTTGATAAAAAAATTAAAATCTAAAGAAATTCCTAGAGATTACTGCTGAATATCTCTTTCTGTAGGGAGTACACGTTACTTCTGTCTTTTGGTGTCTCCCCTTTTGTCATTTCTTCTGACATGTCCACTTTCTTGGAATGATCAGCTTCAGACCCACGCTTGGCGTCCTTTGCCTCGCTCTGTTTTGATCTGCGGGCGACAATTTCAATCTCATCGTACTCTTCTATGTTGTTTCCAAAGACCTGGGGTGGTAAGGACTTTTTCCCTTTTGGATTTTCGACGTCAACGTTTGTGATGTCGGCATAGTTTCGAAGGAATGGCAGAAGAGTATGTAAGGACAAGAGATAACTCTGAATAACGTGGTGGTCTTTTCTGTAGGAAAAAAATCAATATAAGAATCAACAACTGGATGTGAAAGATATTTGACTCGAATATCATTGTTATTTTTCATGATATAAATTCAGTAAAACATTTTAAAAAGTATTATCTCCACCAAATTTATTATTATTTTTTTTTTTTTGATATTGTAAAGTTCTAATTTCATAGAATTATGGTCCAGTATAAAGCTTAAAACTAGCAACATAGTTTTCTGTCTAAAAAATTTAAACACTTTTGAAATCGAGAATAAATATTTTGCCAAGGTACTCAAAGAAAAGTATACTGATAACTGGAACATATATGTGACGGAGAGAAAAAAAGTGAGAACGTTATCATAAACGATGGATGATTCAATCCAAAATATGGGGATGGATAAATACATGTAGGTATTGGAAATTTACTACTATCATTAAAATATTTAAAGTTATGTTAGAACACGTTGCAAATTTCAAATGATAAATATCTACGCTAAAGAAATTTATAATTTTTTGTGTCTGTTCCAGATTATAAATCATTTTAATCTTTTAAAAAAGTTAAAAATTTTTGTGACATCCGGTAATTAAAGGGCTTTAATGAGTTTTAAGTGAAAAGAAAAAACCGGATGTGCCTTTATCCTTTCCTGATAAAATCCTTCAAAATCCTAGGAGCAGATTTAAGCAGTATTTACACGTGATATGTAAGCCCACCTCTCCTCTTTTGCAAACAGAATACATACATGTAGTACGGAGCACACATTTTCTTTTTTCTTTAAACTACTAGTATATCGTGCGTGACCAAACCCATCCCCATCATTTGGAATTTGATATTAATAACAGTCGGCTGGTTATATTTGGTATTACTCCAAAATAACTTTCCTCGAAACAGTTTTGCCTTTAATACATTTTTCACTTAATTACTTCATTATAAAAATACACTGAATTAAACGCATAGCAGAAAAAATGAAAATGAATCAAAATCTTAATGAAAATAGGAAAAACAATACCTTTGGTAAAATCTTAAAATATTCCAAAATTTTAAACAATAAAATGCATTGGTGTCATTCAGAAAACTCGTTTCCTTTTGTATACGAGATATACGACCTGTACCTCTCAAACAATAGGAAAATATTACAAGTGTCATCTTCTTCATGTTAGTAAACAAGAGGACAGAATACTTATACAATGATTAACTATGTACGTGTAAACCAAAAAGTAAAAGAGGAAAGGGATATGGAGATGTTTTAGTTGACTTAAGAATGCATCAAACCATCAAGCATGTTCATTGTAATTTAAACTGTGTGCAATATGCAAAAAGTGCAAGAAGGAAGCTTTGAAACCTTGTTTTGACGTCATATAGTTAAAATTTCTCAAGTAATGCATGATCCCCATGATAAAGGGTATATCTTATATACACTTGTATTCTGCAAATCACCAAATTTTGTCGACAAATTTTGGTTATGTATATAACCTCTAATAAAAGAAATGCAAAAATAAAATTAAACAAACAAAACAACCAGACGATCTTAACTGCGGGAAAATAAAAGAAGTAGGTATAATTATATGTTTTTGGCTTTATTGTGCCCTAAAAATTTATTGTTTTCAAAAGTTTTGAAACTGGGTTAAGTATGATTTGAGTATATGACTGTGATAAATTATGAAAGAATATGGCATGAAGGAGGACCATTCTGGATTATGACGTCATTAATTTGATACATTTCTCTGTTTAAAAAAAAAGCTTCAAAATGACCCATTTCAAGGGTTATTTTTCTTAAGAAAATAGTGTCCACAGCCGTAGCCCACTTTAATTTTCGTATATGTTGTGAGAAATTCCTTGAAAATTTTTTTTTCTCAAAATCTTTCTGGGTAATGCATGTGGTCTATATTATCTGAAAGAAAATTCCAATGAAAATTGATTCCATGCAACTTTTTAAGAAAATACTGGAAAATGCACGAGTTCATGACGTCACAATTAGCATTTAGGAGGTCATATGAGAAAAACTATTTGTATCATCTTACTGCATGGAATTTCAACGATTCAGAAAGCATGAGTTTTAATTTCTTACATCATTTTCATTTCTAAGAAAAATACATGTACAGGGCCAGATTTGTTTTAAAACCGTATCTTGTTCTTTACGCGAATAAAAAAAATAATGTACGGTATTTTTTTTTCTAATTTGGCATTCCTTTTACATATTTTTATATAGCCTTTCAGTGCGGATTAAAGCGGTAGATTAATCAAAAAAGCATTCTGGGGAGTAAATGATCTAGTCAGAAAGAAATGAAACATATAATATAGTTATCCTACCTTCTTTGTACGACTGATGCAAGATTGACAATCAGGAGAAGAAATAGAATCCCCACTCCACCAAGAATGGCATAAGTCTGTAGGGCTTCTGGGAGGATGAATTTATTTGAATTATTTTCTGACGGAGTTGCGGAAGTCGAAGTTGTATCACTGAGGTTTTCTGGAAGTGAACAGAACACTGTATGTAATGTTTCAGATGTATTTTCGATTGTTTTCTGTTGTAGCTAAATGTTTTCACTCTCTTTTCAATAGGTGGTAATATTGCGTATATAGGATAAAAGGAATACATGCACGGCAGATATTTTTCACTACATATACTACATGTTCATCAGAATTTTTTGTGTTTGACGTTTTAACCGGAACAGAATATAAGAACATTCTACATACCTGTTGTATCTGTAGAAGCTGCGAGTGTCTGGTTAGTATAGTTTGATACCATACCTGGCAATGAGGAGCTGACTACACGGTTAATGAATTAATAAAATTAGTGCTTCAATTAATATTGGAATAGTGTATAGTTCACAGTTCCATATGTAGAACGCATCCATTTTTTCCCTTAATGTTAAATATTATGATGTTAAGACAAATGAAAATAAGAAGCAGAAGGTTTAATCTCTCTGTATATAGCATCGGTTCTTTCACGATTTATTAAAATTAGAAAACATGCACAGGCCATGGCTATATTATATAGACTGAATCAGAACTTTAGTGTTAATTGGTGCTTTTTTCGTATCAGAAAAATAGTACATACATCATACCTGTAACATTTGAAGTAGTGTGAAGTGTCTCAGAGGGTGTGTCTGATATATTTGCCGATGAGGAGCTGACTAGACCAATACGTTTATTAGAAATTTAAAGCATGTCCTTTAGAATTAGTATACTGTATACTATATATTGGTATACCATAATATAGCAATAGTAAAATAGAAAATTTCTTATGTTTTACTTCTATGTATTATTACTTCTATGTAATATTTTAGTTTGACGAAGGAGTGCATAGGTAAATGAACGAAGATTGAGATTTAAACTCTCCCTGTATACTAGTCGGTTGGCTATTTGCAATTATCGTGCTTGTTAAGGAAAACATGCAGGGGCCATAACGTTCATTATCAAATTATTTCGGAATAATTAGTCTTTTAATTGGAACAAAATTTTAGGAACATACTACATACCTGTAATTCTTGAAGAAGGACTTGGCGTAGTACTTTTCTCTGAATCTGTACAGACTAAATGAATGTCTCAAAAATGCATTCTATTTGGTTAGAAAGTCATAAATCATTTCATAAATATATCTATCTGAATCATACTTACTTGTATATGCTACAGCAAAACACATAAACACTATTATCTCTTTGGTCTTCTTCCTTTTCATTGCATTGGTTGACATAATGATGTTTTCTCATTTATGCTACCCTCATCTGAAATAATTTATACATATTTAAAATTTTGTTAACTAAGGTAGATATTTAGATTTAAAAAAATATTAATGAAAAAGTAAGTGTTCCTTTAAAAACTTATTAAAATACAGATGATTTTCAATTTGTATGTCCATGCGGTTTTAATGATCTTCACACTACGTTGTATTAAAGGAACAATAAAAGAAATGTCATAAGTACCCTGACATAAAATATTTTGAAAGTAAGGATTTATTTTAAAAATTTTTGCACCTTGCAACCGAGAAAAAGTATGTACATTATCGTTTTATACATATTTAATAGCTTTCTTACCATTGAATTTTTTGAATCTCAGTTGATAAGAATTTTAAACAAGTAATCCACGAGACAATCCTGAATCCATGATATAGCTAAAGATATAAATGTCAACTTCTTCCTGGTATTGACAGTTTCCGAATATGACATTTTCATGAAGGAAGAAGCTCAGCATCGATATATATATATATATATATATATATATATATATATATATATATATATATATATATATATATATATATATATATATATATATATATATATATATATATATAAGACATTTACTATCATTTCAATATGATTAAAATACTTAATAGTGGAAATAAGGAAATATATGTGTTTATATTCAACTTTGAACCTCTTGCTTGAATGTGATGCACAGACCATGCATCAATGATTTCCGTCCTTCATCTTATCCTTCATCTTATCAGATGTTTTCCCATTGCTTTCACACCTTGATTCTCAGTCTCATTGAGCATTAATTTTTCATCTCCAATTCTTCGACAGTCTCTGTCTGATGGTTTTGGGTATACTTTTCTTTGCTTCTATTAGTTTGTGTCCTATTTTGATCTGTTGGCATTTCAAGGTGCGTCATGTACATTTGTACATCTACATTTTTAAGTAGAAACACTCCGCGTCTTCCAGTTCCTTTTTTAAAAACGTATCTTTAGAGAATCTAGAAAAATGCTAAAGAAATAAATGGAGAAAAAAATGAATAAATAGACTATATTCAATGTTTTGTGGTTGTTGATATGGAATTTATTTCACGACTGCATGGGACAGGATTTTTTGATAATTTCAGGGGTGCGAAGCACGAGTGGAGCAAATTCTATATTCAACTACAAAATATAGAATTTTCTGTTTATTACATTTCTTTGATTTTCCCTTTCCCTCTGTCTTTTTGTAAAACAGTATCATAGGCTCTGAGTGTCATTAGTAATTGTAAGATTGAAAGCATTGTAAACATGGGAATTAACATATTTGGAGAAACTTAGGCAATTTTAGTACCTTTCAGGATGGTTAAATGACAGTCTAGGTAGAATTTTTTTAAAAGGATGGAACATCAGGAGTTTTGCAGCACTTCTGACATTCCTTAACTTTGTGATAAAATGTCATTTTGATATTCTTTCACATTGTGACAAAATATCACTTTTATTCAATAAATAAATAAAAGTATTTCACTGTTGAAAATGCAATAAATTTTCATTTCATTTCCAACGATTTCTAAAAAAAAAAATTTTACTTTCAATGCACCAAAAATGAAGCAAACAATGAAATGCTCATAATTAAGCATTTAAAGGTTGTTCAATCCCATTCTAACATTATCATTGTTCAATTGTTTTGCATTTTAAAATTCTTTCTTTAAATATTTCCATTCAGTTAGAGGACATAAAATGTTTTATGCTTAATTCCTTTAGAAGTTACTACCCTTTCAAAGTAAAATATGGTTATCAGTGGAACAAGGTAGACAATCGTGGGTATATCTGAAAGGGTATAGAGGATTTAGTAACAGCATTTTGCTCTGTATTGCTTTGGGCAGACTGAATCAACCACTGAAGAGTCCTAATGAAGCATTTCCTGACTCTGTAGCATTATAAGTATTGATATTGACAGGAAAGATCTTCTTACTTCAAATATACTATTTACAAAAATATCATTGACATAATAATGGAGGGGATATAATGATATCAGTTTTTACAATTCTGTTCAAAACCCCAAAACAAAGAAAATTTATCACCCAGCTTGTTGAAAAGTAAGAACAATCACAATTTTTTCGAAATCAGTATTGAATTATAATGGATACAGGAAATTATGTTAAGACATCACAATTTTAATTTAACATTTAAAATTACACTTCAACAAGACGGAAGACGATGTATTGAGACAACAGATAACAGTGCCTAGTTTGAGTAAACATTAATGCAAATATCCGTGTTCCAGATATATTTTGTCGTGTCCGTTTGCAAATATAAAAAGACTGAGGGAGACACCCACTTTCCATGAAATATAGTTATCTTTAATAAAATATGCTGTAAATAAAAACATAGCTCATGTATATAATGTTACAGTATACATGTAGATGGTGAATTTTGTAAAATTGTGCAAATTAGCAGTATCAGGCTCATGCATGAACCAATTTCTATAGCTGACATTTGGTACACAGCGTTTTTCGTATGATGTTGAGTAATTCAAAATATAATTTACATAATGTAAGATTGTAAATGTTCATTGTAACGTGGAACTCAGAAATTTTCATATCTTTTGATATGTCATTTATAAAAACACTTCGATAAAATTGATACATACAAGTCCTAAAAGTTGATATCAAACCGATGATGGATTCCTCTTTGACAATTTCGACGTAGTATTTGAGATCAGGTCCTCCAACAATCCGTTGGAAATCCCATGGGTACTCTATTGTATCCCTTCATTAGCTTGTTTTTATATATTAATGTAGCTGCAGAACTGTAGCGTTATGGTTTGAATACGAGGGCTGTTCGGAAATTATTGAGACATTTTGTATATTTTTCTTTCTAATGAACGTCTTTCGGTGAAAATTTGCATAAACGTTTGACAAACATTAAGAATTCATAAAAGCAAAAAATATTTTACAAATATTAAATTTCTTCTCTTCAATGGTATATAAATGTGTCAATGGTAGGGGTACCCGGCGCAGTCACGAAATCAGATATTGAAAATATGTAACACCAATGTTCAACACTCCGGTGGACCCATAATAAGAGCGAAAATAATTCAATTTATGTATATGATTTTTTAATTTTATTTTGCCTTCATGTTGTGCAAGTTTGTTAGAATTCTGATCAGAAATACGGAGGTCATTAGAAAAATTAAGCGCGGTAAAGAGATCTGATAACGACGACAAAATGGATTTTGACGTCAAGGCGGAGCAGCATGAGACCTAAAATTTTGTGTAGCGCTATGTAAAAAACCTTTCCAGACTGACCAACCTGCTAAAACAATAACAACGAGAAAAAAAAAACGTCTAAGGGTTTGTTACATGTATTTCATTGGTATATATTTTTTTCTAACCTATAATTCAACTACAGTAAAATCAGAAGCTCCGGCAGACCACCAATTTTTACCGTAACGGAATTAATAACGTTGACCCGCGTTGCATAAATCGGCACTGCGTGATGCTAAGTCATCGTGTATAAATGACACATGAAAAATTTACAATATTGAAGCAACAGCACACATTTTCTAAAAATTCGTTTAAGAAAAGAGACAGTTTAATTTTTGTAGGGTGTATAATTATGATAATAAAGAAAGAAGAGTAAACGCTTCCCGATCGTTTTATATGCAAAATCATCTCCGGCTGACGTGACGTTAAAATGACGTAGCGATGCTGCTCCAGGTCAATAGACTTATGCATGTTTATTATTTCACCGGAACTTATCTAATTATCCTTTAAATTAGAAATTTTGTATAATTTTGTATAATTGTTTTATTCGTTCTTTATAAAATGTTGACGAATTTTCCTGAAATTATCTCTGCCCTTTATGGAGTTAAAGTAATTGTCTCAATAATTTTCGAACAGCCCTCGTATATTTTAGTCGTTGTCCATAACGCTACAGATCCCGTAATGCAAATTTAGTGCAATTTACGACGGAAAATTTTCTGCGCACGGTTGGGGAGAATTTTTTCAGCTTTCCAGCATTGGTTAATCGACTATCTTTCACTCCCTAATGCTAGAAATATTCTTTAACCAATCTGTATATGTATATTTTATCCACATCCTAACGCTTTACACTTGTCTTTACAGGAATAAACTCACTTGTTTTGAATTTTCTGACATCCGACAAAAAATTAAAAACAAGCGAGTTTATTGGTCTGTAGAGACGACTATAAAGGGTTAGGACGTAAATAAAAAAAATATACGGGTTGGGTAAGGTAGTTGATTGACCAATGCTGAAAAAAGGAGAAATTTTCCCCAACCGTGCGCGGAAAATTTTGCACCATATTTGCATTACGGGATCTGTAACGTTATGGTCAAAGACTAAAATATAAAACCATAATGCTACAGTTCTGCGGCTTATTCTGATCAAACAGAAATTATTAAAAAAAAAACCTTTTACATGAAAGGAAGTACACAGCTTTAGCCTTCAGTTATCGACATTTAATCAATTTACAATTTTGATATATTCCACTGAACTCGAAATTAAAGGAATTTGAGATTCTGTCACATCTGCTTTATATATGAATGTTTTGAAAAAGAAAAGGTTTAGCAATTGATCTTCTCTATAAAAATCGTAAACGCCTGTTACTTAGAAGAAAAAAAGGATTTCAATACCCACACAGAAATATAAAATCATTTAAATATCCGCTTGGTCAAATCATCTGTAAAATCGCTTATATCCGTTGTGGTTTGAGGAAGTAGGTTTCGGGATTTAATTCCGTGGTTAAAACTGTGTATAGTTGAAATATATATACATGTATTGGAATTTTTAAAATTTCGTGGAGGGTATGATCTCTTCATACCACGAACACAACGAAAAATAAACCAAAACGAAAATTACCGATTTGGTATCTTTGAAGTTCTTTCAATTCCTTTCTCAGAATTAATTTGCAAGTAGGCTAAAATTATCATCTGATGCATATTTCTATAAAATCACATTTGATATAGCGACATTGGCTTGTCAGACTCTGTGTTCAGATAAGGAAGGTTAACTGAAAACATAGAATTTTTTAAAATGTAAGGAAAGCTATAAATAATTTACCTAATTTCTAATCTTCAATGTACTTGAGAAGTCATGTGTCTCCATAGTTTTTCTAAACCGGAATTCCTCAACTTTATATAATCCAAGAAAATGTCTCTTGTGTTTTCTATATATGAATTAAGACCTACCGGTTCAGACGGAAGCAAAAACAGAAAGTAATCAACACATTAGCATTAGCACAAAATGACCCAGACTCCACAAATATAAACAATCCATCTTATTTCAAAATACAAAATAAAATCGTGTAATCTACAAGGGGCACGTTTTACAGAGATTAGAGTGTTTCATTTCAGAATTGCAGAGTACGGAGTGGATCATTCCGTAATGGAT